CACCCCTACCATAACACCACAATACGCCCCCCACACTTAAGGCCACCATCCACCTACCATGACACTACCACCATACGCCACCTACTCTCAAGGCCAATTTGCATATACTATAACACTACCAATGTACACCACCCACACTCAAGACTGTCATGCACATACCATATCACCACCATACACCACTCACAGTCGAAGCCACGATGCACCTACCATAACACTACTAAAGCACACCTCCCACGTTCAAGGCCACCATGCCTCTACCATAACACTACCACGTACACTACCCACACTCGATGCCAGCATGCGCCTTCCATAACTCTACCACTACTGCCATACACCACCCACACTCGAAGCCACCATGCACGTACCATAATACTACCACCATACACCACCCGCACTCAAGGCCAAAATGCACCTACTATAACACTACCACCATACAACACCCAAACTACCACCATAAACCTCCCACACTAATGACCGGCATGCACCTCCCATAACACTACCACCTTCACCACCCACACTCAAGAAAACAACGTGCCTATATAACACTACTACCATACACCACCCAAACTCAAGACCACCATGCTTCTTCCATAACACTAGTGCTATGTATCACCAACACTGTAGACCACCATGCATCTACCATAACACTACAACCATACATCACCCACACTCAAGACCCCAAATGCTTACCGTAACACTACCGCCATACACCACCTACTCTCAAAACCACGATTCATCTACCATAACACTTACCACCATACACCACCACTCTAGGTCCTATCAGCGCATCCTAACCTAAACATTCATCCTATAGTCACAACACACACACACTATAGCACGCATTGCACCTTCAACCTGTAACACTACACACACCAGTTACAACACCTCACACTAACAATGTCACACCATGCGACCTTAATCCAGTAAACACTTACCACCATTAACTCACCTACCAGCACTCAAGTCAACTTGCCAACCTTACATAAACATCTTACCAGACACTGGAACTCATCAAGCCCATGCACTTAACATAAACACTACCATGACACTTACACTGTAAGCCATCTACAGCACTACACTATAACACTTACCACACGTAACCAACATCACCAGACACTCAAGGCCATCTAAGCATGTACCTAAACACTTACCAACATACACCAACACTACCAGACATGGTACTGTCTACATCATACCAACACTGGACTTCACACTCTTACCGACACGGAACTGTAGACCTTACCAATGTAAACTATCAACATCTACACAGACACTCAAGGCTTTCACTGTCGACCATACAACACTGTACACTCAAACTTACCACACTGGTCACTGTAACATCTTACAGCACTGTACACTGAACCTGTACCACTATGGCATACTCAACATTTACAGACACTAACTGCAAACTTCAAACGGACTTACTCAGACACTGGTAACACTGTCAAACATCTTACCAGACATGGTACACTTCAAACATCTTACCAGACACTGGTAACACTGTCAATACCACTTAAAGCAATCTGTAACATGCAACATGTCAACACTGACTACACGTCAACATCTTCAGACACTGGTAACTTCAAACATCTTACCAGACACTGGTAACACTGTCAAACTTACAGACACTGGTAACTGTCAAATCTTACCAGGACACTGTAACACTGTACAAACATCCATCTAAGACACTGGACCTGTCAACATCTTACCAGACACTGGTAACTGTCAAACATCTTACCAGACACTGGTAACACTGTCAACATCTTACAGACACTGGTAACGCACTGTCAAACACTTACTCAGACACTGGTAACACTGTCAAACATCTTACCAGACACTGGTAACTGTCAAACATCTTACCAGACACTGGTAACATGTCAAACATCTTACCAGACACTGGTAACACTGTCAAACATCTTACCAGACACTGGTAACTGTCAAACATCTTACCAGACACTGGTAACTGTCAAACATCTTACCAGACACTGGTAAACTGTCAAACATCTTACCAGACACTGGTAACACTGTCAAACATCTTACCAGACACTATGTAACACTTCAAAACGCATCTTACCAGACACTGGTAACTGTCAAACATCTTACCAGACACTGGTAACTGTCAAACATCTTACCAGACACTGGTAACTGTCAAACATCTTACCAGACACTGGTAACACTGTCAAACATCTTACCAGACACTGGTAACTGTCAAACATCTTACCAGACACTGGTAACACTGTCAACACATCTTACTCAGACACTGGTACACTGTCAAACATCTTACCAGACACTGGTAACACTGTCAAACATCTTACCAGACACTGGTAACACTGTCAAACATCTTACCAGACACTGGTAACACTGTCAAACATCTTACCAGACACTGGTAACACTGTCAAACATCTTACCAGACACTGGTAAACTGTCAAACATCTTACCAGACACTGGTAACACTGTCAAACATCTTATCAGACACTGGTAACACTGTCAAACATCTTATCAGACACTGGTAACACTGTCAAACATCTTACCAGACACTGGTAACACTGTCAAACATCTTACAGACACTGGTAACACTGTCAAACATCTTATCAGAGACACTGTCAAACATCTTGCTAGACACTGGCAACACGTCAAACATCTTATTAGACACTGGCAACACTGTCTAACATCTTACCAGACACTGGTAACTGTCAAAATCTTACCAGACACTGGTAACACTGTCAAACATCTTACAGACACTGGTAACACTGTCAAACATCTTACTAGACACTGGCAACACTGTCTAACATCTTACCAGACACTGGTAACTGTCAAACATCTTATCAGAGACACTGTCAAACATCTTATCACACACTGGTAACACTGTCAAACGTCTTACTAGACACTGGCAACACTGTCAAACATCTTATCAGAGACACTGGTAACACTGTCAAACATCTTACCAGACACTGGTAACACTGTCAAACATCTTACCAGACACTGGTAACACTGTCAAACATCTTATCAGACACTGGTAACACTGTCAAACATCTTATGACACTGGGACACTGTCAAACATCTTACCAGACACTGGTAACACTGTCAAACATCTTACCAGACACTGGTAACACTGTCAAACATCTTATCAGAGACACTGTCAAACATCTTGCTAGACACTGGCAACACGACAAACATCTTATTAGACACTGGCAACACTGTCAAACATCTTATCAGACACTGGCAACACTGTCAAACATCTTATCAGACACTGGCAACACTGTCAAACATCTTATCACACACTGGCAACACTGTCAAACATCTTACTAGACACTGGCAACACTGTCAAACATCTTATCAGAGACACTGTCAAACATCTTATCACACACTGGCAACACTGTCAAACGTCTTACTAGACACTGGCAACACTGTCAAACATCTTATCAGAGACACTGGTAACACTGTCAAACATCTTATCAGAGACACTGGCAACACTGTCAAACATCTTATCACACACTGGCAACACTGTCAAACATCTTACAGACACTGGTAACACTGTCAAACATCTTATCAGACACTGGTAACACTGTCAAACATCTTATCACAACACTGGTAACACTGTCAAACATCTTATAGACATGGCAACACTGTCAAACATCTTATCAGACACTGGCAACACTGTCAAACATCTTATCAGAGACACTGGTAACACTGTCAAACATCTTATCAGGACACTGGCAACACTGTCAAACATCTTATCACACACTGGCAACACTGTCAAACATCTTACTAGACACTGGCAACACTGTCAAACATCTTATCAGAGACACTGGTAACACTGTCAAACATCTTATCACACACTGGCAACACTGTCAAACATCTTACTAGACACTGGCAACACTGTCAAACATCTTATCAGAGACACTGGCAACACTGTCAAACATCTTATCACACACTGGCAACACTGTCAAACATCTTATCAGAGACACTGGCAACACTGTCAAACATCTTATCAGAGACACTGGCAACACTGTCAAACATCTTATCAGAGACACTGGCAACACTGTCAAACATCTTATCACACACTGGCAACACTGTCAAACATCTTATCAGAGACACTGGTAACACTGTCAAACATCTTATCACACACTGGCAACACTGTCAAACATCTTACTAGACACTGGCAACACTGTCAAACATCTTATCAGAGACACTGGTAACACTGTCAAACATCTTATCAGAGACACTGGCAACACTGTCAAACATCTTATCACACACTGGCAACACTGTCAAACATCTTACTAGACACTGGCAACACTGTCAAACATCTTATCACACACTGGCAACACTGTCAAACTCTTATCAGTAGACACTGGAACACTGTCAAACATCTTATCAGATGCACACTGGTAACACTATCGACCTAACACTTCAAACATCTTATCACACACTGGCAACACTGTCAAACATCTTACTAGGACACTGGCAACACTGTCAAACATCTTATCACACACTGGCAACACTGTCAAACATCTTATCAGAGACACTGGTAACACTGTCAAACATCTTATCACACACTGGCAACACTGTCAAACATCTTACTAGACACTGGCAACACTGTCAAACATCTTATCAGAGACACTGGCAACACTGTCAAACATCTTATCAGAGACACTGGCAACACTGTCAAACATCTTATCACACACTGGCAACACTGTCAAACATCTTATCTGGACACTGGCAACACTGTCAAACATCTTACTAGACACTGGCAACACTGTCAAACATCTTATCACACACTGGTAACACTGTCAAACATCTTATCACACACTGGCAACACTGTCAAACATCTTATCAGAGACACTGGTAACACTGTCATAGTTAACAAGTTGCCAGTTATGTTATTTTATCAATATAACATCATTTATGTTTTTATCACAACAAATATATTTAATATTTTAGCGCTGGAAGAGAACTGGTTGACTAGGTTCTAATATTTTATTAATAAATATGTTACTAACCTTATTTTTTTAATTTCTGTCACATTGTGTTGACACTGTGATAATTGTTGTAACAATTTGTCACGTGACTGCTGAGTGTGTTGTGTGACGTTCTCCAGCAATGTGTTGTTGACCTGCAGTTGACTGTTTATGTTGGTAACTTCTTGATAATGTTGTGTCAAGTTTCTAACTTGAGACACACAAGTGGCGTGACTTTCTTCATCGTTTCAGTAACTGTGACGCTGCTTGCAGCTTCATCTGACTCTTATCTTCCTGAACTTTTATTCAAAGGTTCCTCCTGTAATGCGCTCTTATCTTCCTGACTTATCAAGTTCACATACTGTAAGCTGACTCATTATCTTCGCTGACATCTTTATCAAGTTCCTCCTTGTATATGCGGAACTCTTATTGTCCTGAACTTTATCAAGCTTCCTACTGAATGCGACTCTTATCTTCCCTGAACTTTTATCAAGCTTCCTCCTGTAAGCTTGCGAACTCTTATCTTCCTGAACTTTATCAAGTTCTCTGTAATTGGACTCTTATCTTCCTGAACTTTATCAAGTTCTGCCTGTAAGGAGACTCTTATCTTTCCTTGAACTTTATCAAGTTCCTCTGTAATGCCGACTCTTATATTCCTGAATTTATCAAGTTCCTACTGTAATGCAGCGCTTTTTCATTCTTTGTGTCTCAGTCCAAACTATTTCCTCTAATCTTGAAAAGTCTCATGTTGTTGTTTGTATTTTATTCTGTACTCTTGTATTTGTTAGATCTCTTTGTTTAAGAAGTCGTCCTCTTGTAGTTGTATGATATTCTGATGTTGTTGTATTTATTCTGTAGCTTTGTATTGTCTGATCTCTTTGTTTAAGAGTCTCCTCTTGTTGTTGTTATGTTATTCTGGTTGTTGTTGTTATTTTTTCTGTAGTCTTGTATTGTCTGAGCTCACGTTGTGAAGAGTCTACTCTTGTTGTTGTATGTTTATTCTGTGGTGTTGTATTGGTTACATTTTCTCATAGAGTTTCATCTCGGTGTTAGAGCTTTCTGCTGGAGATCTTCAATCTTCTCGACACCAAGTGTTCAGTAATGTTTGTTCTTGTGCTCACCACCTGTCATAATAACATATAACAATTATAAATGATATAATTATTATCTCATATAAACATATATTAACGCCATCAGTTGTACGACTATTAGAACCTCCAGCAGTGAATGACTCATATAACCTCAGCCATGTGAATGCACTATATAACCTCAGCAGTAGTTCATAACTATATAACCCTCCAGCATGAATCACTATATAACGCTCAGCAGTGAATCACTATATAAATCCAGCAGGGAATCACCTATATAACTCCAGCCAGTGAAGACTATACTAACCGCCAGCACGTGAATGACTATTGACTCACAGCAGTGAATGATATTGAACCTCCAGCAGTGAATGACTTTATAACAATAGATGTGAAGAAGAATATATAACGCCTCCAGCAGTCATGGATCACTATATAACCTCAGCAGTTGCTCAACTATATACTACACGACAGTGAATCACGATATACCTACCAGCAGTGACTCACATATATCCTCCAAGCAGTGAATGATCGTATCATAACCTCACAGCAGTGAATGACGTATATAAACTCCAGCAGTGAAGGAATATATAACTCCAGCAGTGTATCACTATATAACCTCAGCAGTGAAATCACTATATAACATCCAGCAGTGAGTATATACTACTATATAAACCTTCCAGCAGTGAATCACTGATATAACCCTCCAGCAGTGAAGTCACTATCTAACACTCCAGCAGTGATTTACTATATAACCTCCAGCAGTGAATCACTATGATAACTCCAGACAGTGAGTATCAACTATATAACATCCAGCAGTGAAATGACTATATAACCTCCAGCAGTGATATCTACTATATAACCTCCAGCAGTGACTAGTCAACTATATGAACCTCCAGCAGTGAATCAATATTAAACCTACAGCAGGGAATCAAATATATAACCTCCGCAAGATGAATCTATATATAACCTCCAGCAAGTGAATCACTATATAACCTCAGAAGTGAATCACTATATAACCTTCAGCAGTGAATCACTATATAAACTCCGAGAGTGTAATATACTATATAACCTCCATGATCATGTGAATGACTGACTATAACCTCCAGCCAGTGAATTATCTATAGCATCCCTCGCAAGGGATAATGACTATATAACATCCCTTGCGTGAATACACCGCTATATAAACTCCAGCAGTGAATCACTATATTAACCTCAAGCAGATGAATCACTATTTAAACTCCAGCAGTGATATCACTATTTACCTCCAGACAGTGAATTCAAATATAACCTCCAGCATGTGAATCGCACTATATATACTCCAGGCAGTGAAGTCACTATATAACCTCCATCAGAGGATGGAATCCTATATAATCCTCCAGCAGTGAATCTACTATTATACCTCCAGCAGTGATGACTATATAACTCGACGTGAAATGACTAGTATAAACCTCCATGCAGTGAATGACGTATATTAACCTCCAGCAGTGAAATCATATATAACCTCCAGCAGTGAATGATCTATATAGACCTCCAGCAGTATGAATACACTGTATAACTCCAGCAGTGAGATCACTATATAACCTCCAGCAGTAATGGACTATATAACCTCAGCAGTGAATGACTATTAACATCCAGCAGTGAGATGACTATATAACCACCAAGCAGTGATTAACTATATACCTACAGCAGTGGGGATCCCACTTATTTTTTATCTTAATAACCTTACGCAGTGAACTTATCTATATAACCTCCAGCAGTGAATGACTATATAACCTCCAGCAGTGAATCACTATATAACCTCCAGCAGTGAATGACTATATAACCTCCAGCAGTGAATCACTATATAACCTCCAAGCAGTGAATGCTATATAAACCTCCAGAACAGTGATAGATCATATATTAACCTCCAGCAGTGAATGGACTATGTATGTAACACTCAGCATGGGAATCACATAGATATCCTTCAGCAGATGAATGATATATAACTCCAGCAGTGAATGACTATATAACCTCCAGCAGTGAATCACTATATAACCACCAGAAGTGTGTGACTGTTATGCAGGTTCCTGCATAACATTGTAATAGATATGCCGGGCAAAAAGAAAAGTGCTCTATAATTTTTACAAACTGATTAAAATCGCTTATACAATAATTTTTATCAATAATCTGTACATTTGTGGCATGTAAATTATCTTAAAGTGATATAAACGTAAGGAAGTTCTGTATCGAGTTATTTTCCAAGTGTGTGGTACAGCTAGGGTATTTGAGGTGTAGGTTATTTGATAGCGTGGGTATGTGAGCGTGGGTAGGTGAATGAAAAGTACGAGAATGAGGAGCGTGGTGATGTGGCGTGGGCTGTGAGGAGCTGTGGGTATGTGAGCATGGGTATGCTGACGATCCTGCGGAATATGAGCGTGGGTATGTGAGCGTGGGTATGGTGAGCGTGGGTATGTGAGCCGTAGGTATGGTGAACGTGGGAATATGAGCGGGGTATGTGAGCTTGTGGGTATGTGAGACGTGGGTATGTGTTGCGCTGGGTATGGGAAGCGTGGAATATGTCAGCGTGGGTATGTGAGCGTGGGGATGTGAGCGTGGGTATGTGAAACGGAGAATATGAGCGGTGGTGGTAGTGAGCGTAGGAAATGAGCGTGGTATGTGAACGTGGGAATATGAGCGTGGGTATGTGAGCAGTTGGTATGTGAGTTGTGGTATGTGAGCGTGGGTATGGGAGAGTGAGGTATGTGAGTGTGGGTATGTGGAGCGTGCGGTATTGTGAGCGTGGGTATGTGAGCGTGGGTATGTGAGCGTGGGGTATTTGTGAGCGTGGGTATGTGAGCAGTGGATTGTGAGCAGTGGGTTGTGAGCGTGGTATGTGAGAGTGGGTATGTGATGCGTGGGTATGTGAGGTGGATATGTGAGCGCTGGGTAGGTGAATGTGGGTATTGAACGTGTATTGTGGAGCGTATGGTATGTGAGCGTGGTATGTGAGCGTGTGGTATGGGTTGAGCTGTGGGAATGTGAGCGTTGGGTATGTGAGCGTGGCTATGTGATATGTGGTTATGTGAGTGTGGGGTATGTGAACGTGGGTATGTGAGTGCTGTGTATGTTGAGGTGGGTATGTGAGCAGTGGGTATGCATGAGCGTGGGCTATGTGAGCGTGGGTATGTGATGTGGCGTATAGTGAAGTGGGTATGTGAGCGTGGGGTATGTGAGCTGTGGGTATGTGAGGTCAGGTGTATGTTGGAGCGTGGGTAAGTGAGCTTGGGTAACCTTAAATTCGAGCGTGGGTATGTGAATGCGTGGGTTATGTGAGGTGGGTATGTGAGCGTGGGTATATTGAGCGTTTGGCTGTTATGTGAGCGTAGGTATTATCCTCTCCCCCCCCCCCCCCCCCCGCTTTTTTTTTTTAATATAAAATTTCCCTTTATGTGAGCGTCGAGGTCATATGTGCAGCCGTGGGTATGTGAGCGTGGGTATGTGGCGTGGGTTATGTGAGCGTGGGTATGGTGAGACATAAGTATGTGGAAGGTCGTTGGGTATTGTGAGCGTGGGTATGTGAGCGTGGGATGTGACCGTGGGGATGTGAGTGGTGGGTAATGTGAGCATGGGTATTGTCAGCGGGGGTATGTGGCGTGCGGTATGTGAGCGCTGGGTATCGTGAGTCGTGAGGCTGTAGTGAGCGATGCGGTATGTGAGCGTGGTAGGTCAGGCTCGGGGTATGGTTTGATTGAGCGTGGGTATGTGAGCGTGATGCGTATGTCGAGTGATAGGTATGTGGAGCGTGGGGTATTGTGGCGTGGGTTATGTCCAGCGTAGGTATGTGTGCGTGGGTATGTGCGCGGTGGGTATGCTCGAGCGTGGGTATGTGAGGTGGGTATGTGAGCAGTGGGTATGTGTACTTGGGGATGTGAGTGTGGGTATGTCGAAGCGTGGGGTATTTGAAGAGTGCGTATGTGAGACTGTGGGCAGGGTGAAACGTGGGTATGTGAGGCTGGTGTATGTTAGGTGGGTATGTGGCATGGGTCATGGGAGCGTGGGTATGTGAGCGTCGGGTAGTGTGTGCGGTGGGTATATGATGGCGTGGTATAGTCTGAACGTTGGTATGTGAGCGTGGGTATGTGAGCGTGGGTATGTGAGCGTGGGTATGTGAGTCGTGGGTATGGGCGGGCTCAGGGTGGGTAATTTGTAGATGTGGTGTATGTGAGTGTGGGTATGTGAGCGGTGGTATGTGAGCGTGGGGTATGTGAGCGTGGGTATGTGAGCGTGGGTATGTGAGCGTGGGTGTCCATGTGAGCAGGTGTGGATGTGATACGTTGGGGTAAGTGTGCGTGGGTATTATGTGAGCGTGGGTATTGTGAACGTGGGTATGTGTGAATGGGTATGGAGGTAGGTATGTGAGCGCGTGGGTATTTGAGCGTGGGTATGTGAGCGTGGAATGTGAGCGTGTGGTATGTGGAGCGTGGGTAATGATGAGCGTGGGTATGTGAGCGTGGGTATGTTGAGCGTGGGGATGTGAGCTTGGGTAGCCGAAGAGCGGGGTATTTGAGCGGGGGTATGTTAGCAGTGGGTTGGTGAACGTGGGTATTGAGCGTGCGGTATATGTGAACATAGGTAGGTGAGCGTATGGGTATGTGAACGTGGGTATGTGAGCGTGGGTATTTGAGCGTGGTATGTGAAGCGTGGGTATATGTGTCGCGTTGCGGTAGGTGAAGCGTTGGTTATTGTTGTAGCGTGGGTACATGTGAGCTTGGGTATGTGAGGCGTTGGGTATGTGAGGTCGGGTATGTGAGCGTGGGGATAGTGAGCGTGGATTATCTGAGCGTTGTTATGTTGAGCTGTGGGTATGTGAGCGTAGGTATCGTGGAGCGTGAGCCAGTATGTGACGCTGTGGTTTTGTTGGAGCGTGGGTATGTGAGCGTGGGTTAGTGTGGAGCGTCGGGTATGTGATCGTCGG